ATCCTGGTGAACTCCATTTCCCAGCCTGCCTTGTTGTACGAGAGTGTGGCGGTGAGCGACGGGAATCCCATCCTGAGAGACCTGCTCTTCAGTCCAGATCACCAATTCTTATACACCCTAACTGATAAACAGGTAGGACACACACACACGCACACATCCACACCGAGGTTAAAGCAAATGCTGCTTATCAAATCCATCCTGAGTGCTCATTTAAACATGCACACTCCTTTTAGTATGAGCCATAAAATGAGGCTTAGAGAGACGGAATGAAACTTGAATGTTCTGGAGAAGCGCCATAAACATTTGATGAGTAAAGATGAATTAAAAACACACAGAGAATGTAAAGAAGCTATTTACATGGCACGCATGCATACAGCAACACATAAACCTCATGAACACTTGAAAATGCCTGTTATTGTATTGCGCGCGCGCACACACACACACACACACACACACACACACACACACACACACACACACACACACACAGTCCTACCTAATGGCATGAATATTAAACTGTTCTGTGTAAGACTCGAGTTGTTTTATGGGTTATACAAGATGCATAAACATTTATTAAAGCACATTTCTTATAAATGAATTAAAGGCGCTAGCATTCCTTCAAGGAACACTAATATCTTTTTAGGAGCTTTTCCCGATTTTCTCCTTTTTTTTCCTGGTCGTCTGCATTAAAGATGACCGCTATTGCCAACATAAAGTCCTTTTTAGTTATTTATGCCAGTGTTTTATTTTTGATGAGCTGTGATAGGTCCCCTGCATGTCCGACTCTGTTAGTTCAGCGACAGAATCGGGGTTTGCTTCACCCAGAGAGCAGCATCCTGGAAATCACAGCATCATTTTGTCTTTTTTATCAACACGTGCCACGGTGTGTACAGGGGTTACACATTTGGTTGCAATGAAGAAAGGTCAGCGTTGACCCTCTCTCTTGATTAAAGATCAGCTTTCCAAAATGTCTTTGAAGGACCCGTGTCATTCTACTTTACCCCTTCCAGAGCCACAATATGTGGTAAAATGTTGCTGTTGGTACAATTGAGATGTCTTTTTTATGAAAAAGTATATTAATTTTGTGAGCCATTCCTTCAACAGGCTGCATGGTGGCGCAGTTGTTAGCACTGTTGCCTCGCAGCACGAAGGTTGCAGGTTCGAAACTCGGCTCGGCTGTGGCCTTTCTGCGTGGAGTTGCATGTTCTCTCCTTGCATGCGTGGGTTTCCTCCGGGTACTCCGGTTTCCCCCACAGATCGCAACATGCCCTGTAGGTTATAAAGTGTAAGTTGATTTGGATAAAAGCATCTGCTAAATAAATAAACATAAACATAACATGGGAAAAATATTATTGGCCTCCCAATTCCACTATAGTAGACAGCTGCCGACTCGGATACCGCAGATTCACCCTCATGCCTCACACACACACACACACACACACACACACACACACACACACACACACACACACACACACACACACTGCACAAATGGATTTAAAGCAGCGGAGATGTAAGATTCCCAATCTGAATCATTCCAAGTGAATCCCTGAACTTGATAACCATTCAGCTAGCGGTTAGCATTTCGGATTTATTCACCTCCCCGGCTCTCCATCAGGTGCTTTTAAAGGTGTGGACCACTGAAAAAAGTTTTTTTAAACAATTATTTCTGATTCTAACGGGTCACCCTGAGTTTTTCATGCAGGCTGAACCTGAAAATAGTCTCCTACACCTACCTCCTGCATTAGCTTCTGATAGAAAACTTGGTGAAACTCTAGGATTAGAAAAGCCTGGCTGATCTACGTCACACTGTCACTTAACATTCATGGACTCACCCATCTGGACTCATGACTCTGAAGGTTGTTGTTGGTTTAGCGTCCAGGAAACCTCAGAGAATGTCTCGGCTAGCAGAAGCTAACCGCTAGCATTAGACACTCCACCACACAGTGGTAGGGTCATGTTGCTGTTGTTCAGTCCGAGGCAAGATGTCCAGTCATCATGAAACAAGAGTCGAAATCCTGCCGTCTGCAGCTACTTTCTCCTCCAGCGGACTTGAACTTCCTGATTCAGGCGCACCCAAGTCGTCGTCTCCTCCCATATACAACATACAAGGCATGAATTCCCACTGTTGATTAATCAAGTGTTCAACACTTCTAACATCGGAATGGCTCCAGTTTGAGGAGGTGATCAGGGTCACATTCCAACCCAGCTTTTGTGTAAAAACGTGTTGTGGACTCCCAACTACTCATCTCACCCAAATGACATCATCGAACCACACATGGTGAAGAAGGACAAGACGTTGTCGTCATCTTCCTCCGCTTATCCATGTCCGGGTCACGGGGGCAGCATCCCAACTAGGGAGCTCCAGACCGTCCTCTCCCCGGCCACGTCCACCAGCTCCACCGGCAGGACCCCAAGGCGTTCCCGGACCAGATTGGAGATGTAACCTCTCCAACGTGTCCTGGGTCGACCCGGGGGCCTCCTGCCGGCAGGACATGCCCGAAACACCTCCCCAGGGAGGCGCCCAGGAGGCATCCTGACCAGATGCCCAAACCACCTCAACTAACTCCTTTCGATCCGGAGGAGCAGCGGTTCTACTCCGAGTCCCTCCCGAATGTCCCGAAGGACAAGGCAAAAATGCTAAACTTCTAAAACTCTGTAGCGCTCCCGACAGTGTCATCATTTTAAACATATCTTTAGTGTTTTCATTTTTGTTACCCTGTAATCTTTGCTGAGGTAAGAGATACGAGTTACTTCAAGTTTCTAGCCATAAAGAGTGGCTGAAAATTAGATAATTCAACTTTTGGGCTACTTCTGTTTTCCCTGCTGCGATGGGAGTACTTGTCGTACTTCTTTCCGCAGCTTTCTCAGTGACAATCAGAATAAAACTAATTCAAAAGACAAGATGAGATGGGACAACCATCCCGTTGGAGAGTAGATAATGGCTTTTCACTTTCAGATCTTCAGTGGTGACCAGATTCACAGTTCCGCAAGACATTGGAGCCGAAATAGAAGAAATGGAGAATGGGTTAGAGCTGAGAAGGTGGGAAAAAATAATTGGTTTGCAGGATCTGCTCGGTTATTTTCTCTAACTCATCCTCCCTTGTATTTGCAACCCCCCTCTGGCTAAGGCTGGCTGTCTCTGATGGAGTGAGTTTGTGGAATAAGTGCTCTCACAACAGTGGCTTCACTCAGTAAAGAATAGAGGAAGATGTTCGGCCCTTACTGCCAGGACGTTACGATTCATTCGGAGAAAAAAAGACGGATTTGGTCATTTAAATGAGCCACAAGAAGTTTCCAAATGGAAACTGTTTTTGGACAATAGTTAGATTCAAATGTTTTTATTGAGACGACACAGAAAGGATAAGAAATCAGCCATGTTTGATAATGATTTGAGCAAAGTAGAGCTCCGGACGTCACGTGACTCTCAGAGAGTAGACGCCATGTTGGCAGGCAACTAAGGTAAACAAAATGAACGGGATCGGCTTGGATTTTACTTTGTCAGAGTTTACTTCACACTTTAAAACCGAATAAATCGTTTTATATATTCAGAAATAAAATAGACTAAACATCTCTGACCCTTACCATGCCCCTGGGATACCTTTTAAAAACGCCAGAAGCTGTCAGAGCGGACTTCTTACCGGACCTGGCCAGGGAACGCCTTGGGATTCCCCCAGAGGAGCTGGCCCAAGTGGCTGGGGAGAGGGAAGTCTGGGCCTCTCGACTTAGGCTACTGCCCCCGCAACCCGACTCCGGATAAGCGGATGAAAATGGATCGATGGACAAATAACAGATTTACATGTAAGTAGTTTAAATAGAGTGCTGTGCTGTTTGGATGTATAAACTGAACGCCAAGAGAAATCACTAGTCGGATTTTTTTCCATGAATAAAATAAATATGTCCGGCAGGAGCATCTCAGGATCTGTCTGAGATCTGTCTCGGTGAGACAGATAATAGCAATCCAAAGTGCTTTTTATGTGTGATCTGACAATTGATCAACCATTGCTTAAAAATTAAATACAGCTTAGCCGGTTAATTGCTGTGATCATAAAACACGTAAACGGCAGCACGCAGAAATCACGAGGCAACGTTTTACGTGACGTTTACTTGTTGCTATGAGTAATAAGACAGAAAAAGCCACGCCAAAATAAGTTTAGAAAGCCCACTAAGAATCGTAATAAAAGCATTTAAAATAAATACCACACACAGTTGAGGAAATGTTGGTTTAAGTACCTGATATGAAGTGGTCGCTGCATAAGTGAAAACCTTTACTCTTGGGATCCCACAGTTTCATTTAAGCCCGGTCACTAGCGGGTTTTATTACAATGATCCAACGTTTGCGGCACTCCGGATCTTGGGGAATCCTGTAGATGGCTCATTCCTTATGTCGTCCGCGTCTGTTCTGCATCCTGGGGCACAACAGGAATCTACCATATTTCCCATTTGAGTTTTTTGACAATAACAAATAGCCCAGCTGCGGGCTTCTGCCTGCCAATATGGCGGCATTTCGATTTGATCTGTTGCATGCCGGGAGAAGTGACGTCAACTCCCGGAGCTCTATAGTGCAGGTTAAAGATATTATAGAATGCAAAATTTTATAATTTTTTACAAACAAAATTACATTTCTGAGTGAGTAAAACACAACCCCCTCCCCTGGGAGGGGAGCAGCACCTCTTGGACCACGAGACACCATGCTAGTTTGATCATCATTCATCATGGTCTTCATGCTACCGATGCACCGCTCTGCCCATGAGCTGCGTGAAAATGAAAACAGCTTACCTTCTGCCACTTTTTTCTCCACTTTCATCATTATTTTGTACCTTTAATCAGATGACAGGGATTAGGGACAGTTGGGCTTTGCTGCAGATTTGTGCCTCTTTCCTCCAGTCCCTCTGGACCTCTGAGCCAGAGATGCTGCTATGAAGTATAATCCAAAAAGTCTTTGACATAAATGGGAAAAACTATGCAAAACCTACCTTTGCTGCCACGTGCATCTCCTCTGCCTCTATAAACACTCCAAATGTGAAAAAAAACATCCATCAGTTTTCTGACAGTGTTTAGCTTTAGTAATTATGTTTCCAAGACAAGCCATTTCAGAAAGTATCCCTTTGTGACATCACAAACGGAAGGAG